TGTAGTTGTTTTAGACATACCTAGGATTCTAGAACCAAAGATTTGGTCTATTCTAGCTAAGAATCTACCAAGCACAGAAAAGATTACCAGTTTGCTCACAGTTAGGAAGAAATCCAATTAGCCAGAAGCCCCTCTCCCTTGGCACCACAGCACATTAAAATTTTACCCACTCACCAACCAGTAACCACAACTGGCTGAGAAGAATTTTTGTGTCTCCACTGTCAAGCTAATGGCCTTGTCTTCCGGGCAGGCATGAGGGATCTTGTCCAGAGAGCCCCTGGGCAGTTTCAGGATCCAATCCGTGGCTCATCATTTCTTGGCAAAGTCAGAGGGCAGATACTTGATAGAAACATCACTCAGCTCATTAAGGAAGAGTTGTGTGTTTGGAGGGTGAGGTTCAGAAAAGTATTCCAAGCTCTTTCCTCTTTACCTGCCATGCCAGTCCATTGTCAAGGCAGGTCCTTCACCTGTTCTCTCAAATTGAGCCCTGTTTTTCCACGGCCACCACCATTGCCTTGGTGGAAACCTACTGGCTTCTTCCATAGACTGTCGGTCAGCTTTCCTCCTGCCTTCCAGCTATCCTGTCTGCATCTTGATGAATCTTTCTAAAATACCACTTGAGTCATGTCATCCTTGGGCTCATATCCTGCAGCAGCCCACCCACTGCCTTAGGGAGAGAATCCAGGCTCTTGTGGGGTGCCCAAGGCCCCCCACAGCCTGGTGCCTCCTCGTGCTTGAGATTCATTCCCATCAATCTCTCACCCAGGAGCCCACTCAAGGCCTCCCAAGTGTGGCAGATGCTCCCCTGCAGACCCCACACACATATCTACCTACTTATGCTCCCTCCACAACCTTTCTCAAATGCCACCAGCTGCAAGAAGCCTTTTGGGATCCTCAAACTAACACTTTCTCCCAATCTTTGTTAGTAGGAACTTGGCAGTGTAACACGATGGTTAAAGCAGTGCTGCTGTGCAGGTAGACTTGGGTTAAATCTTTGTCCTTGCATGTAATCCTTGACATCTGACTTAATCACTTTCTGTGCCTCAGTTTCCTATGTCTAAAATGGATACAGTGCCAATCTAACAAGCTGATCATGAAAGCTACATGTGTTAATTTTTGTAAGATGTTTAACACAGTATTTGGGGGCATTATAAGAATGCAGTAGGTGGCAGCCATTATTATTGTTGTTCCTGGAACTATTATTTTTGGGCTCTTACTGAGGAAGGAGTGGGGCCTTACATGCACTGGTCTTAGCTCCCCCTCCTGGATGGTGAGGATCACGTGCATTTTTTGGTATCCCCTGCAGCCAGCGGTAGTTTGTAAATAGTGAACATTCTGAGTGTAAGCATCTCTGGAGCCTAAAAGCTTTCCATTTGAGCCCTGGGTCTACCACTTACTAGCTGCTTAACTCTTGGGTAAGCCTCTTAAGCCCTGTGAGACTCAATTTCCTCATTTATAAAATGTACAAAATAATGGTACCTTGTTCATAGATTGTCACCAGGGTTAAATGAGGCACTATTAGCAGGGTGTCTGGGGACCATCATTTGGTTAGCCGGCCTCTAATGCAGAACCTGAACCTAGTAGGCACTGGTGAGGATTTCTTGAATGAATGATCCCAGTGTCCCAGCTATAATGAGATTTAGGAGTAGGTATTTTTCTCAATTACAGTAGTTTGGCCTAGGTTTTGTCATAATCATCTATCTCCCATCTCTCTTTATTCCTTTATTACTTGGCCCTGGACTAATTGTCTAGTTTTAACTGGGTTATCCCATACAGGCCTTTTTAGTGAACACCTCTTGAGCCTGTGTGGAAACAGAAGAAGCATTAAAAATTAATATAAAATCTGGGCACCTTCCTCTTGAGCCCAATTGAGTAGAATTGGCTTATGAATACACCAGTGAAAGCAATAAATAAAGACACACTGGCAGGGCCATTGAATGAGGCTTTATTTTCCAGTTAACTAAGAACACGTGTTCTTTGAGGCAACATAGACAACCAGAAGCATCACTAAAAAGAACCATTTGCCCATGGAAACAGAGGAGGAAGTTTTGAAGCAATGGGGGCGAGGGTGCCCTGTAGTCTCAGAAGGTGTTGCAGATGGTCCACTTCCTACTCCTTCTCAGGGTATCCTTGCTGGTTGAGGCTGGTTCTGCTCTTTTAGTGCTCACTGAACTATGATCAGGCTTGACCTGAGGAGACTCCAGGACCCACACTCTGAGAAAAGCTGAGGGACTTCAGTAGCGGCCAGGGGGACAGGGTGAGCAAGGCACACAGACAGTGCGAGGCACATAGACAGAGCGCGGCACACCTGCAGACTGCACACAAGGTGGGCAGGAGGGAGTGGAACATGGATTACAGGGCAGCCTGCAGGAGAAAGTCACAGTGGGGCAGGATTAGTGGAGAAGCCCAACTAAGCAGCCTATCTTACCAATTCTTACCCCTAGACACCTCTCAGATGGATCCACTATGTACTTTCCCACCCAGTCTGCCTTGTCCTGACCTCCATCATCTTTGCCTCTGTTACCTCAATACCTCCACTTTGGCCTCTCCTAACAACTGTCAGTTTAGGGAGCAGAGTAATCTCCTATAGACACCAATATTATCATGTCCTTGTCCTGCATAAGACCTTCCGCGGCTCCCACTTGTGCTGCATGAGGAGCAGCTTCCTTATCTGGCCCTGCATGGCCCTGCTCCCACCTCTTACCCCAGCCTCACCTCATAGCACTGGTGCTCTCTGAGCTCAAGCCTTCTACTAGTTCCTCAGTGGACCACACTACTCGGGTCACAAAACTTATGCCATGTCTCCTGTTTCTAAGTCACTCTTCCTCACCCCTTACCTGATTAATTCTTTCTGTCCCTTAAGAGCTCGACTCAATTATCATATCCTCCCTAAAGCCTCTCCCCATCTCTGGGCCAAACCCACAATGGCACCACATACCTCCTTCCATAGTGGTCACTAATTATTCTATTGTGACATCAGTAACTAAGTGTGTGTGCATGCACCTACCCTGCGTACCTGACACTTGGTAATAATGTGTTGAATAAGAAGAAATAATAAATGAGTGTGGAATGATCACATGGCAAAAGGAAACAGGATGACTTCAGAGACTGACAGGCCAGGGCTCAAAACCAGAAACCACACACTGAATGTTGGACAGAGCCCAAACAGTGCAGAGATGCAACAGGAAGCCTGAGGATCACACACAGCTTAAAATGTGTTTAATTTGCCTAGAACTCCTTTTTTTTTTTTTAATTTTTTGAATTAAAAATCAGAAGAGTTCACCTTTTTAAAAATCCAGATTGCCTGCTTCTCTGATTCAGAAGACCCAGCAGCACTAGACCTGCGTCTTACTCAGTACAACTGACTGTGAGGGGCAGCACTGCCCTTCCCTCCCTGGAGGCCACACAAGCTCCCTGGTTTCCACAGTCCCCACGTGACCCTCATCATGAGGGTCCTTGTAGAAGTCTGGTCCTTATAGAAGTCTGACTTTTCAATAAATGCCCTAGGGGATAAGATTCTGAATGACAGCAAAGCAAGGCTAAATGTAGAAATTTGCTACAAGAGGAATCAGCCTCACCATCTTCTGTGTCAGATAACCAGCAAGTCCTGCTGATCCTGTCTGCCCAGTGTTGAGGCTAATGTCTCCTCTGTTCTGATCAGGCCCTCCCCATTGCTTACATAGGCCAGGGCCAGGGCCTCCTGAGCAGTGTCCCTTCCCAGGTCCCCCTCAACCTCATTCTTCCCACTGCTCTCAGGGTGATCTTCCCAAAAAGCCACTTTGAGTTTTTAATTGACTCAGTCAAGAAATATTTACTGAGCACTACTCTGTGCCAAGTGCACAAATCAAATACATCCTGTAGTCTCTGTATTCTAGATACATACCAGCTAATGGGAAGATGAGTGGTAAAGCAGATTCTATCATTCCCTCCTCAAAAAACGAAAGGCCTTCCACTTGCCTATAAAATAAAGCCCCTGCCACCAGTAGCATGACCTCTGTAGTTGTTCATAAATGGGCCCCAACTGACTGTTCCTGTCCTGCTGCCCACCACAGCTCAATCACATTCAGCTACCTATTGCCCTTGCTTCCTATAACCTCCCCCAACCCTGACATGAATCTCTCCAGAGCCTCTCCAGAGCCCACATACTTGCTGTCCTCGCTCTCCAGCAGGCCCCGATATGTGTTGATCTCACACTCCAGCCGGGCTTTGACATCCAACAGCACCTTATACTCCTGGTTCTGCCGTTCCAGGTCACAGCGGATGTCAGCCAGCTGGGACTCCACGTTGCTGATCAGGCACTGCATCTGGCCCAGCTGGGAGGTGTAGCGGGCCTCGTCTCTGTCAGCGTGTTTTCCAGAGAGTCCCTCTAAGGCAAAGGAAAGATATAACATGACAGGTAAGCTATTTTCCACAGCCTGGTTCAGACAAAACCAAGAAGAACTAAAGTCTTAATGTGGTGTTGGGAATTACCCATCTACCTAAGTCACCACAGGACTGGGAGCCCAGAAAAGTCAAATGACTTGTTCAAGGTTAAACAGAAGGTTTATGATGGAACCAGAGTTTGAACCCAAGTCCTAAATCTGATACCCTGATACCCTGATACCCTGAAACTGTAGGCTGGCTTCCGGCTTTGGATTTGAGGCTTACTAAGTGCCTTCCCTATGGCATCATCTAGAACAGTGGTTGTTTTTTAAAATACCCAGGCTCCATTGCCAGAGACTCTGGTCCTGTTGAGGAACCTAGGTATCAGGACTTTTTAAATATCTATGGGTGATTTTGAGAACCAGGAGTTGGAAGGGCAGGCTAAACAGAAAACAGGCCTTCTAGGGGAGTCACGTTCGACAGTGTCCCCCTAACCCACATTTGACCAGGTGCGTGCCCTTTTGTCTCAGAAATGGGTCTTGAGAGAAAGCTCCCTCCAAGAGGAAGGAAGGATACTGATGGCTGAATCCACCCCTCTTCTTCCTCCTTCCTGCATGCCTGCACCCACACCCAGTGCTGCCCTGGATCCTGAGCTGGGTTGAGTCACCCAGCAGCAATCCTCACCAGGCTGTGCTGGGCCTGCAGCTCAATCTCCAGCGTGTTGACCGTTCGTCTCAGATCTATGATGTCTGACTGGTAGCTCTGAAGCTGCTCAGAGCTTGTGGCCACCTGCTTGTTAAGCTCCTCCATCTGCAATAGGGGAAAAGACAAAGCTGGGAGCATCTTCTCCGGGACACTGAGGAGCCCAGGCCCCTGTGAGAGGTACACCCACCTGCATGTTAAACCATTCCTCTACATCCCTGTGGTTGGTCTCCACCATGGTCTCATACTGACATCTCATCTCCTCCAGCATCCTAGTCAGGTCCACAGGGGGCGCAGCATCCACCTCAATGTTAAGGCAGTCACCAAGCTGGTGTCGGAGGACACCGACTTCCTGAAAAGGCACAAGGACAAGTGTGAAAAGTCACACAGAGCCAACTCACCTCCCTGGGAAGACATGAAAAGGTACAAAAAAACTACTGAAGATCTCAACATCAGCATTAGAGGGGCCCTTCAAGGACTGCAATCCACCCTGCAGTATCTTAATGGTCTTCCAGTTCCAGCCAGACAACCCGTGACACCTCTTCTCACCCTGACAAGAGCAGCGGCAAGGTTCATTTGATTCATTTGGGCTAAAACGAGAAACCCATGTCCCTGGTTTCCCCATCATCCTCCCAGCCCTGTTCATCTGGGAAGGAAAGTAGTGGAGCCTGGCATCCGTTAGGTCAAAACCTAAGTTAAAACTAGGGCCTCCCGCCAGCAAGAGAAAGTTGTCACTGAGGTGGCCCAAGTATGTGATAATGCCTCATTAGTGGCTTCTTGACGCGGTTCCCAGCTCCCTGGTTTAAGTGGGATGAGTCAGGTGCCCTAGGGTGCCTCTGTGAGTGAGTGCATGGTGACAGATTGCTACTTTACACTTGAGCCTAAAGAAACCCAGCCAGGATCCACTTGTTCGTTCAAATCCCAAGTAGGGAAGTCATCCCAGGGAAGGAGGAAAAGAAAAACTCATGATTTGGGTGGGTTTTGCAGCCTACAGGTGCACAGGATAGAGGACTTTTCCCTACAAGGACCTGTAGGAGATAAGGAAAGAGGAAGTGAAGGGCTTCCCTGTGGTCCAGCTACATAATCTTACATGCAAACAAAATGAGTGAGGGTTGGGACAGAAAAGAGACAAAAACCACTGCAGTCTAACACTCTCTTGGAAGAGAGGGACTCCCAACCCCCAGCAGTTACCCCAGCAAAGTCAGACAGGACTTTGGTTGTGAGTTTAGAATATAACCTGCCCCTGGCTTCACAGTACCACTCTACCTCTGATATGACAGAGGAAAAAGACAAATGAAGTCACTATGAGCCAGCATGTGGCAGGAGCTACATTTCTGAGCACCTACCAAGAAACAGGTGTTCCATGCCGATAGCCTGTATCAAATCCGTAATCCATGTCATATTCACTAAATCCTCAAAATATCCCTTGTGATAGTGTTAGCCCCATACTATAGAGGATGGGGACTCAGAAAGGTTATATAAATTGGGTAAAGTCACAGAAATAATATGTGGCAGGCCTAGCAATTTTAATCCACATCTACCCAACCCCAAGCCCCTACATTCTTCCCATTCTGCCTCTATGGCCACCTCAACTTGACTTCTGGTCTCACCTCCTCATGGTTCCTCTTGAGGTACAACAGCTCCTCCTTCAGAGACTCCACCTGTGCCTCCAGGTCAGCCTTGCTCAGGGTCAGATCATCCAGGATCCTACGCAGACCATTGGTGTCGGCCTCCACCAGCTGCCGCAGGGCCAGCTCCGTTTCATACCTGCACAAGGTCAGAACCAACAACTTGAGGGGAGAAACTGTAGACAGTACCCAGGGAAGGCCTTGAACTGCAGGCACTTTCCAACTTTTTGTGAAGGTAATGGAAAGCAAACCCAAGGTATATGGGGAGAAAATCCCCCTACCCCCTGGTTCCCTAGCCAAGCTCACTTGGTCCTGAAGTCATCAGCTGCCAGTTTGGCATTATCAATGTGCACGATCATTCTGGCATTCTCTGCCTTGGTGCACAGAACCTGTGGATCAAGGCACACGGAGTGGGTTAGCCCAGGATGAAAAGAAGGGAAAAGAACCCAGTAAGGGGAAGACAGTAGTGAAGTCAGGGCTCACAGCCCTGCAGCCTTCTTTGAGGAAGCCCCTCCCCACTGGAACTCTAGTTGTCCTTAGAGAACTTGAGAGTCATTTTTTAAGCACTTTGGTCTCCATAAATTTAAATGCCCCATTTTGGATGCAGGGCGATACAGAAAGAAAGAACTCCATTCTGTCTAAAGTCACTCATGTGACATTTACTGACACTCAGCTATAAATGTTGTTTCAAGTGCTTAACCTGCATTTTCTCATGAATCATCTTAGAATCCTATTAGATATGGCCATTATAACCCCCATTCTACAGATGAGGAAACTGAGGCCTAGAGAATGGGAAGGGACTTCGCAAAGTCATGCAGTGACTCAATGGTAGAACTCAGACTAGATCCCAGGGCTCTTCCTGCATGTAAGGGCTCTGACTGAATACCCAAATTATGAGATAATCCTATGCCCTAGAAAGGTCTCTTTTCCCTGAACATGGTTTCATATAGTAAAGCAGTTCAAATCTGGAGTACTGGCTCTTCCAGATGCCTCCCCAGCAAGTCTGTTCGCTGCTCACCCTCACCTTCTGCTGGAGTTCCTCAATGGTCTGGAAGTAGGACTGGTAGTCAGGACACATGGTGAGCACCTGCGACTGGCAGGTCTCTTGGATCTTGCTCTCCAGGCTGGCATTCTCCTGCTCCAGCTGGCGCACTTTCTCCAGGTAGCTGGCCAGGCGGTCATTCAGGGACTGCATGGTCTCCTTCTCGTTACCATTGAAGGAGCCCTCGCAGAACAAGCTGCAGGTAGCCATGGAACTGGCTGGCCGGCAACTGCTGGGCCGGCATGAGCTGGACAGGTAGGCCTTGGAGAGGCCGCTGGCTGGCCGGTAGGTAGGCACGCAGATGGAAGGCATGCAGGATGCCATAGGCTGGCAGACATAACCTAGGCACAACTCAGGCCTGCAGCTCACACTGCTGGAGCAGACAGAGGAAGGCCGGGAGCAACCCTTAACAGAGATTGGTGAGGTATTGGTGACACAGCAGTTGGATGTCATGTTGGGGAGGCCCTTCTTCCTCAGCTGCAGCTCTCTGGATGTCTATAGACTCCATCCTGCCCAGGCCTTTTTATACCCTTGGAGTGAGGGGGCTTGCACTAGAAAGTCATTATGGAGGAGGGGAGGAGGGGGTGTTTACACTCAGTCGCAGAGGAAGCTGCTAATTAATTTGTAATTTGGTTTCCAATAAGGAGTTCCTATCCTCATAAAAGAGGCCAAACTTATCATTTGGCTAAAGCAGGACTCTGGGCTTCTGTCATTGGCCACCAGGATAGAGTATCAGGACACATGTTCAAAGGATCTGCTCCATGCCTGGGCCCTCATTATCAGGGAGTGGCTAGTAGCCTGCTCTGTGTCACCATTGGCCTTGCCCACTGAGCCCCCACTTGCACCTACCCTGAGGAAGCCTTCAGGTCTACAGAAAGGTGGCTGCCCCTTTTTAATGAGGGCATTCCTGTGGGAAGAGCCCTGGCCCCTTAATGCGGAAATGTGTGGGTGATAGAAGCTGCCCTGATACTGGCAGTGTCATAAATCTAGAGGGATAGGAAAGAAACCCTTTAAGGCTAAAGGAATAAACATATTATCATCCTCCCATGAAAATCAGATCAGCGAGGAGAGAATGAACTTAAGGCATGGAAAGTTTAGGAATCCAAACATCTTTTCAGTTGGATGTAACTGAGAAAGGGAAAGGTTAGGCCCCTCCTCTTGGAAAAGCAATTCAATGTCATGAACACCTCCAGGAGGCAGATGCTCTATCTTGACCACTTCTGGAGCCTCCACTCAATGATTGCTGAGCCATGGACACAGTTGTCAAGTGTTTGACTGTTGTCTGTTGAGACTGAGGTTGAACAGGCTGAAACTGGCTCTGCTTTCACTTCCTGCAGAGGTAGACAGGGAGGGCTTACTTTGTGACTCCAGAGAGTGGAAGCAGTGTGAATTAGTTCCTTTGAAAAGGGACACTCTGCAGCCCTGGGATGAGCTAAGCCAGGAGATCAGCATCAGGTGTCCCCAGTTATAGGAGCCTTGGGCATTTCCTTAAAGCAGCATGCTAGACCAGAGTCCTCAGCCCTGGTTGCTTACACAATGAATGTTTAATATGTGTGTGTGTAATGTAGCCACTTTTTTACTCACACTCTTCTCCATATAATGTTAGAATATTAAGTATTCAGGTTATATTCCCAGAAGTGTTGATAAAGAGGTAGACAAAGGAAAGCACCACCCATTGCTTAAGAGAAGTCCACCTTCTAATTTGTGCTGTGACCTTGAGACAGTCGCTTTGCCTCTCTGAGCCTCAGCTTCTTTAAAATTGAAAAGGTTAGATTAAGTTATCTCTGGGTTTGGTTTCCAATAACAACCATAATTCCAGGAGGTTTGTCTGAATGGACTGTTTGGAGAAGACAGAGGCACCAGAATGTGTGTGTGGTAGCGATGCCAGCCACGTGGAACAAGCCACCCTTCACAATCATAACTAGCAATCATTGGATGTACACAAGTGCCAGGCACCATGCTGGGTACCTGGCATTCATTTGCCCATTTATTCCTCATCACCCTTCAAAAACCATAAGGAAAATATTATTATAATAGATTGTAGCAGTGCTTCTCAAAGTGGAGTCCTAAGACCAGCAGCATCAACATCACTCAAGAACATATTAGAAATATTATTTTTCAGGCCTACTCCAGACCTACTGAGTCAGCAACTCTGAAAATGGGGCCCAGCAATCTGGGTATAGCAGGACCTCCAAGTGATTTTGGAAACCACTGAGGTAGACAAGTATGTATGTTAACAGTAGCCACTGGAATTCCTCTTGTGGAAGAAAATGATCTTTACTTGAAAATATTTCTTGAGATAAAAGGTGGGACCCCAAGTGATGATTTTGGCTGGCAAAACATCAGAGGGAAAAGGAGAGAAGAATTTAAAGATCCCAGAAAAATCGTAGAAGGAAAAAATGAGGTGGAGAGACACCAAGATGATGGGAGAGTGTCACCAGAAAACCCTCAGTAAAATCTACTTAGTTCAAGTGCTTGGCCTGATGCTGGTGATCCCAGCACTCAGGAGGTGGAGGAGAGGATCTTGCCTCACTAGAGGCTGCATAGTGAGACCCTATCTCAAAATATTTTTTTTTAATTTAAGCTTGGCATAAGCAGGGTTTTACATTATGCAGGATGCCGCTATGTTCAAAGCTACAGAAGATCACAGTTGGACTGGAGGTGTGGCTCAAGCGGTAGAGAGCCTGCTTTGCAATCATGAAGCCCTGAGTTCAAACCCCAGTTCCACCAAAAAAAAAAAAAAACCCAGAAGATCACAGTTACAGCCAATATGCCAGATCTAGGGGGCATCTCTCAGGCTCTGGTGGAGAGGCAGGAAAGGTAGTCACAGAGCAAGTAGGGCGTAGTCACTTTTCAGATGATTCTAACATTTGTTCACTGTACCTCAACTTCTCTAAGTCCAAAGCAAATTACTAGGCAAATTTGTTCAGAGAGAAAAGAGATGAAGGTGATGCAGAGAAAGCTACTGAAGTGGGAGAAACAAGTAAGAAATGCTGGGGAGAGCGTGAGGCTGGTAGGTCCATGGCAAAGGGCCTATTTAAACAGGGTAGCAAGGTTGTCTGTCGGGACCTGTCCCAAGACTGTTTCTACCCTGTCCCACCCCCAATTCTCCTGCAGAAAATCAGATGCTCCTCCTTTGAAAAAACAATATCCCCAGAGAAAAGACTTAGAAAAACTGAATTTAGGTAGTTCTCTCATCCAAAATGCCAGTTTGTCAACCTGCTCATATGCGTGGTAGCTTCTATCAGTTTTTAGTGTCTCATCATTAAATACGTACAAAAAGATCACTAGACATTTGAAGGAAACTTCCAACATTAAAAACAGAGATCAAACAAAACAATGAAAAGGGAAAATGGGGAAACAGAAACAATGCAGAATCCAGAATTATGCATATTTTTTAATAACAACCTCAGAGATATGTATACCAGTTATATTCATGAAACAAGAACTGAATGTCATAACAGAGGAATAAACAGAGAACTTTTAATTTCTTAGAATATAAAAATATGAAAATTAAAAATTCAGCTCAAATGTTTGAAATTAAAGGTGTGAGGAAGGGCAGAACTAAGGTATAGTCAAAACTAAAGATCAGACCTGGTAGTGCTAAGGTCTGTTTCAGAGCTGCCCTGAGCCCCCTGTACTCCCAGTTGTGTTGCCCAAGGGCCCTCTATCTAGAGAATCATCATGCAACCCTGGCTGCATATGAATGTCATCTACACAGCTTTCAAAAATCTCCATACTGGACCACATCCCAGACCAACCAAAGCAGAGTTTCTGGGGGTCAAAGAAGGCATGACATTTTTTTTCTGTTATTGTTGTTGTCATTTTGGTGGAACTGAGGTTTGAACTCAGGGCTTCACACTTACAAAGTAGGTGCTGTACTGCTTGAACATGACTCCAGTTCATTTTTTTCTAGTTATTTTGAAGATGGGGGTCTTGCAAACTATTTGCCTGGGTAGCCTCAAACCATGCTCCTCCAGATCTCAGCCTCCCAAGTAGCTAGGATTACAGGTGTGAGCCACCAGCACCTGGCTACACTTAACTCTTTCTTATGGACTTGGTAGTTTTTTGCTCCACTTTCCTGAGGTTTCTCTGACTTGACAACAGTTCCCCTGAAAATCTCCAGCAGTTCTCAGTCATGCTGAAAGGAACAGATGAAAGAGCCCATGTTCGCCTGGGCTGGCCTCAAATCATGATCTTCCCAATCTCAGTCTCTCAAGTAGCTAGGATTATAGGCATGAGCCACTGGCACCTGGCTATGAGTGTTTTTTAAAGTTCTCCAGGTCATTCCAGTATGCAGACAAGGCTGAGAACTAGCTGGGTGAAAACAGTGTTACCATTTTATAAGCACAAGCAAATGAAGTAAATAATAATTAGAGGCAAGGTGGCCCACAATCTGGTTAGCTCTATCTAGGAGGGAGTTGGAATGGAATGGTGGCTTGTGCCACCAGAGTACCATAAAGAAGAAGAGTGTGACTTATACAAAACAGACTTCTCTTGGAGCCATGTGCTCAAGAGAGCATCTAGTACTGTCATAACATCCCCATGACTCCAGTTCAGAGCTGGAATTAAATGACAAATCACATAACTGGCATATCCACCATAGCTGGCTGATTTGACTGGGCATTGCTGCCTGGAAGGAAACCTCAGAAGTGAAGTCCCAGTCTCACTGTAATCCAGTCATCCAACTAGAAGAAAGAGTAAATGTTGACAGTTTTCCAAATGCCCTTTGTATGCTCAGCCAAGTATCAGGGGTTTACAGCATAGTAGGTGTCATGTTCTCTATTTTTCTCAGTAGTAAACTGAGATTGAGAAAGGGACTTTGGCCTAGTAGTGCTCCTACATACAGTAACAGATGGGGCTGGAATTTGAACCCAGATCCATCTGACCCCATGCCCTGAGCCCACATTCCTTACACTAATGTCTTAGCCTCCTCCCACCACTGAAGTGGAAAGGGACAGAAAAAGTGAGTGTCCTTACTATGCCATCCCAAGGCCTCCCTCCCACATGATCCAATCCTTCCCCTGGTATCTAACACACTGTGCTCAGTGAAGGTTTGTTGAATGAAATGAATAATCCTGAGACCACTGGAAGACTAAACCTTTGCAAAATCAGCCAAAGTGTTCCCAGAAAACCAAAGCTAGGGTGGTCAGATTGCCAGAAGCAGGGAGTTGACAGAGGCCAAAGGCCTCTTGTACAGGGGGCTAAAAGGGGAAGAATCAACAGTTGAATCAGGGTAAACTCTACAGACATACAGAAGGGGCAGGTCTTGGGCTTGCCTCATTAGCATCCTTTCACCAGTCTGTTCCCCACCTTGCATTATGACAGCCCTCTAAATATCACTCAGGCTTCTTAGCAGGTACTCTTGACATCTTTGAAGAGCACATGTCCTTCTCTCTAGCTTAGAAATTGCTACCTTCACCCCTGTCCCTTTTGCATTGGGATTGGTAGAACTTGGTGCTTGCCTAGCCTGCTAAGGAAGATATTCTGGGCATGAATGAGAGCCTTGAGGCCAAGATGCTAGAGCTCCCATATCCATTTGACTTGTTGTATGCCTCATCGGATGCCAAGAACACAGGAGAATGTGCAGAAGCTTCCTAAGGGCAAGAGCATCTGAGTTAAGTCCCAAAGGCCAGCTCACTCTCCATCTCATGTGTGTGGTAGGACATGCATTGCTAAGGATTGCTGCTGAATCAGAAGGGCTTTATGAAAGGACTGCAAAGGGAAGAGGGGAGGTGATAAGAATGTACCCGTAAAAGTATCCTGGATGTGAGGCACTGATGAGGACCTAAAAAGCTTCCCTTTAAACAGATCTTACTTTTACCAGTCCTGTGCTGGAATCCCAAGGGTGGCCATGCATACTAAGAGGGAGAGTAGAAAGGTCTGGTAACACCTGTCACCACGTTGAAATCTTAGAGAAAGGTCTTCATCAGGGAAGCCAGCCAAAAATTAGGCTGGCTATAAGCTATAGGCTTCTAGCTACCCTGATCAGGGTCATAAGGACCCTGTCATCCCCAAAGTCACCCTTGGCCAAACATCCCATGTTCATCTGCCCAACACTCTCACTCCCTGAACCCAGCAGGACACAAACCAACACAGGAACAATGTGAGTCAGTCATCCAGAGCCAGAACAAACACCCTTTATTGTTCTACCAACAGACACCCTGCATTGCACTTCAGAACCTACTGGAACACACCCAGAAAGGAAGCCCGACCCAGGAATCATCCTCAGAACAGAGATCTTGTGCCCATTGAAATGATAAGTGTTGAGGCCTTTGGGTAGCCAGCCTCAGTGACAGCTCTAAGAAACTTTAAGGCATGTATTTGTAGTGAGCCCTATCAGGGCCTGGGCCTGGGTCTGGGCTCTCCATAGAGATAAGGGACTGTAAAACCTTCTGGGTCAGCTACTCTCAGAACCGGCCCCCTGGGCAGGGCACACAAACAGGGCGGGGGCTGCAGGCTGTGCGGGCTGCACCAGGACCACAGGAAGCAGCAGGAAGACAGGGGAGGCTTGACTTAGAGGGTGAGTAGTCAGGGGCACACGGGTTGCATGGGAGCCTAGGAGACCAAAAAGAGTCAGGTTACTATGGTTTTCCAGTTGTTATTTTTGATAACTCTGAACACATCCCAGAATGTGCCAACTTGAAAATCACCGAATCCTGCCCCCTTACCGAAAGAGAAATGGAGACCCCAGGACGAACACCATGTAGTGCCCCCCCCATCCCAGAACTATGGAGACTGTTCAGAAGAGGAGAGAAAATACAGTGATACTCACTTGCTGTCCTCGCTCTCCAGCAAGCCCCGGTACGTGTTGATCTCGCACTCCAGCCGGGCCCGGACATCCAGCAGCACCTGGTACTCCTGGTTCTGACGCTCCAGGTCAGCCCGGATCTCACCCAGTTGGGACTCCACACTGCTGATCAGGCACTGCATCTGGGACAGCTGGGAGCTGTAGCGGGCCTCCGTCTCTGCCAGGGTGGTGTCCAAAGCATCTCTCTGAGAGGGCAAGGGTTATGGAAGGAAGAAGGAGTTTAGAGGTCAGAAAAAGAGCAAATAAGATCCATCTGGGTCTCAGTAGGCTTCAGAATCCCAGAACAGGAGCTCAGAGCATCACTTTAAGCTGGAACAAACCACAGTCAGACATCTCATTTGAGATGGCCCAACCAGCCTCTTCGATCCATAGAGTATCTCCCTGTTAAATGGCATCTTTGAGTAGCTGACAGTTACTCAGAAAATGGATCTGTTTACACAAGTGGAGGAGCTACTGCCAAAACATGTCGGGTACTACAGATCTCTTGTCTTTTGACACTAGGGAGTTTGTGATTGGGGCTTGTCCCTCATTCCTCTTCTCTGCACTGCTGATCAAGAACTTGAACCCCTGGATCCTGCCTCTGGTCAGAACACGGAAGCTGGAGGGATGTGCATTTCTAGGCTTGGTCAAGAAGAAGCTCCTCCCCAACCTTAGAGCTCACCATGCTCTGCTGGGCCTGCAGCTCGATCTCCAGGGCATTGACAGTGCGTCTCAGCTCCATGATCTCTGCCTGGCAGGACTGCAGCTGCTCTGAGCTGGACACCACCTGCTGGTTTAGCTCCTCAGTCTGAAACACACATACACACAAGCCCTGGTCAGAAACCCTGGGATCTCAGTTTCAAACGTCTACAGGGGCTATTTAGAATCATCATTCAAGAAGGGCCTTCCAGATCACCCAGATCATTTCACACTTGTTGCTTAGAAACCTGGCCAAGGTTGCACAGTGAGGTCAAAATAGAGACTAGTGCCCCAGGGTCACTCCCATGCAACAGACATGTGCCTCTGTTGCACTGCCTGCTTCCAGGTACCTACCTGGTTGTCAAACCAGTCCTCAGCATCCCTGCGGTTATTCTCCACCAGAGTCTCATACTGGCACCTCATTTCATCCAGAACACGGTTCAAGTCAACAGGAGGAGCGGCATCTACCTCGACGTTGAGCCGATCACCAAGCTGGCAACGCAGTGAGTTCACTTCCTGTGACACAGACCAGGGTCAGCATTAACTTTCCAGTTGATTGCATCCCCTGTGTTCACCTCCTCCCACATGCTTACCTCTGCCCCATGCTCAACTCCTCCCCCACACTTACCTCCTCATGGTTCTTCTTGAGGCAAAGTAGCTCCTCCTTCAGGGCCTCCACCTGTGCCTCAAGGTCTGCCTTACACAGGGTCAGGTCATCCAAGATCCTACGCAAGCCATTGATATCAGCTTCCACCAGCTGCCGCAGGGACACCTCTGTTTCATACCTGCAGGCACAGAACAAGTTGTCTGCAGCAGCATTTCATTTTGTATATAAGTCAGGACCCAACAAAGACTGGCCTGGTACTATGAACCTTGCCTTTGTGCCTCAGTGATTGAATGTAGCCGAGACCCTGAGGCCAGCCCCCAACCAAGAGTGAGCAGGACCACTCACTTGGTCCTGAAGTCATCTGCAGCCAGCTTGGCGTTGTCAATCTGCACCACCAGCCTAGCATTCTCAGACTTGCTGCACAGTGTCTGGGGACATAAAGAAGTGATCTCAGTATAAGCATGGGCATTCTGCTGGTGAAAGCACACCAGATCTAGCAGGAACTGCCCCTAGACGGGTGTAGTGGCTCATCCTGGGCTGCTGAAAGTTTGAGGCTCCATAAGAGATTGCAGGCAGCTGGAGGGATGAGACTGTGAAATCTCTAAGGGCCCTCCCGCTGTGGTCTGTCTGTGACCTGTAACCTGGGCCCAGAACACAGGATGTGGACATGCTGCAGAAAAGGCCCAGATGGTGGAATGAGGTGTTTTCCTGCCTTTCTGTCTCCCAGACCTGCTGGAAACCTGAAGCATATCATTGTCATCAGAATACCCTATGATTCTCTGATCATAAATGGACCCTTTCAGGATCCAGCTGTGACTTTCAGGAGATGTGGGATGGGCAAGAAAGAAACTTCTCCGAGTCACTGATAGGAAAATTAATCTGTAATAATCACATCAAATCCAATCCACTTACCTTTGAAAATGAGGAAATTAAAACTCATAAAAGCAGACAAGGGTACCAAAGATCACACCAGCTGTTGGTTCACACATCCCAAATTCAAGCTCTGGCTCTACTAATTGCCACCTGGGTCATTTAACCAACCTGAATCTCTATGTTCTCATCTGTGTGATGGGCTGATGACACTTCCCTCATATGGTTATTGGGAGGAACAAAAGAGGCCACAGAACATGTCCCAGGGGAGCAGGGCTACCACTACACAGGTCCTGGCTTTCAATGCAAAGCTGGTGACTACAGGCTTCTGGGCAACCAAAGCCACTCTGAACCTCTCACCTTCTTCTGGAGCTCCTCAATGGTCCGGAAGTAGGACTGGTAGTCAGGACACATGTAGGGCACTTGTTGCTCACACCATTCACGGATGCGGCTCTCCAGGCTGGCATTCTCCTGCTCCAGCTGGTGCACCTTCTCCAGGTAGCTGGCCAGGCGGTCGTTCAGGGACTGCATAGTCTCCTTCTCATTGCCGGTGAGGATGCCCTCCCCAAACCAGCCTCCACCCACACTGTAGCTGGTAGCAAAGCTCCCATTGGGGAGGCAGAGAGCAGGGAGGCAGCTGGAGGCCCGGTAGCCACTTCTGCCCAGCCCTAATGAGCACACAGAGAAACTCCGAGCCCCTCGGGAGAGACTCGGGAGCTTGCAAGAGCTGCTGGAGTACATCTCGGACACACGTGTTGAACCACTTCTAGCCCCACCTGGGCTTTTGAGGGATCCAGAGGAGAAGCTGGCCTTGAGGCATTTGGAAGCCATTGCTGCAACAGCCCAGATGCAAGTGGTAGATCTCAGAGACTAGAAACCCCAACGTGGAGAAGCCGCTCCTCTGCCAGGCTTTATACCTCTGCCCCAGAGGGTGTTGGTTGGCCCTTACAAAGTGTTTTCTCCTCATTAAAGTTAATACCACTTTCTATCAAAACCCCTCATTAACCTGTTATTTAGCTTCCCCTGAACATTTCATGGCCTCATAAAATAGAAGCCCCGTTGGACTGGTGACTACACGGAGACTCACCCCCACCACCCCATGTCCCTGGGAAGACTAAGTCTCTCTGTCGGTTCTTCAAAGCCGCCTGTCATCAGAGCCAAGACCTCAGCCTCCTCGTTAAGCAGGTGTGGGAGCCCAGCTACTGCCTTGCTTTGTCTCCTTTGATGGGCTGGCTCCAGGGAACATCAGGCCTGAAGGTAGCAGGAAGGCAGTGGTCTTACAGCCCTGCACAGATATAAAAGGCTCTTGAATTGACTCAGAAGATATGGCCATAGTGACCAACTCTTCCAGTGTCCCCAAGACTGTTCTGATTTTGATTATAAGGAACTCTGAATCCTTGACAAAATGGGACATCTGGTCACTCTCAGTACAGCAGAGCTTTGATGGACACTCCCCTACCCCCTCCCTTGCCTGGAAGTTCATTCAGGTTATGTAGCTTCAGCTCCAGCCAAAATGACCAATCAGCTCATTGGACACTTGTTCTTGGTGACATGAACAGGTCATGTCTAGGAGAGCATGACTTCCCCAGCAATGGATGGAAAATTGAGAAGACTTTCCTTCTGGTTGCCTGAGGAAGGGGGAGGTAAGGGTGTGTCCTTGATTCCCAGGCTTCTTCAGTAGGCACAAAGAGCCTGGCCTTCTCAGGCTTGTCTCTACTGTGGGAGCTGGGTGAGCCAATGCCTGGAAAGCTTGATGACACATCTAACAAATCCAATCTGAAAGCAAGTGACACCTGGAAGACAGACTGAGGGCTGAGTGATAGGGGAGGTAGAGCTGGTGGTGGGTCTCCTCATCAGGTGAGACCCTGTGGGGCTTGCCTCCTGGTTTGCCCTGCGATTTGGGGTCCTACTTACTCTCATAGGGACACTGATTATCATTCCATAAGGAAAATGATGGTGAGCTGAGCACCAGCAGTGACCCAGGCATGACACTCAGTGTTTCCCCAGGTGTGGTCTCACTTAATCCCCAGAATTGCTCTGTGATCCTGGGCTTATGGTCCCTACTTTGAAGCTTTGGCAGAGATGACGAGAACTTGCTTAGTGCTCCCAGCTGGTGACTAGCAAAACCTGGAATCCTATCCCAGGCTCCTTGACACGATGGGGTCCATGGAGAACAGAGAGAGTCAGGGTGGACTCCCCCAGGCGATGGCCTGCACCATTTGGTGTCCCAGGAGAAGCAGCACAGCATTATGGTTACTTCTGAACTTGTGAGTTCAATTCCCAGCCCCACCACAAACCAACTTCTTTCACTTCTCTGGGTCTCTGTTTCCTCTTCATAAACTGGGAAGAACATAATATACCTGTTCCCGCAGGTTACATAATATGTTTGATGAATCTCCAACAACACCTGCTCTTGGTAAGCACTCATAGCGGCAGCTGCTGTGATTGCTGGTCCTGGTACAAGTGTGGTCTTGTACTGGGACTGGTGACGCCAAGCAGCTGTCATTACAGAGCGTGGATGAGCTCTGAGCACACAGGTCACCGTCCCATGAGCCAGGTGCGTGGATTTGGGGCCTCCAGATATAGAGCTCCGATTAGTCACTATGCCCTTTCTACATGACAGCACCCACCCAGCACAATTTAGCATCCCATTGGCTGTCTCAACCTCTCCTCCCTGGGGATCGATGCCTCAGTGCAAAGCATGCAGCTGAGCTGAGGGCCAGGCTGAGTCTCCTTGGATGTTTGTTTCCCACCCGTGTGGATGATGGGCTCCACCTCGCCCTACTAATCCACAGTCTCCTGGGAACAGGCTCTAGGTTCAGCAAGGGCCACCCTGGAGCCATCAGCCCAGAGAAGCCATAGAAGGAAGCCTGGAAAACCCTGTGCTTTCTGCATAGCCCCAGGGTCACGTGGATTCCCAGGCAGTCTTTTGCACCTGGGCTGCCCAGAAGGGGACCAAATGTGATTCAGATTTGAATGCTCTCCCGAACAGTCAATGGGACCAACCATCCTTCACTGAGCACTTGGCACCTGCTGGGTCCTGTGCTCACTTTCTCCATGCATTCTCTCATTTAGTCCTCACAACAACCTCATGAGATCAGCATCACTGATAGCCCCATTTATTAGACAAGTAAACTGAGACCTGGAATGTTTCAGGAGTCTGCCTGAGGTCACACAGCCAGTGAACAGCAGTCAGCAGAACCAGCCCTTTTTCAAGGTATGCTCTCTCCTTGAAGCTCCCCAGGTAACACAGACATGAATAGAAGAGTGCTGACTTCCACAGGAGGACTCAATGAATGATTTATCCAAGATCCACAAGGGCTTTCAGAGAGACAACAGCCCGGGCCTTCTGGCTTCAGACCTTGGGCCTACTCCACTGCCTCTGGGGTCCAGTCCCAGCAGCCCTTCTCCCTGGAGCCTGCTCCCTGCTTTAGCCCTCCTATGCCCTCCTAATGCTGAGCACCCATAGTAGTGACTGGTGGAGGATCTCTTGGCCCTCCATTGGCTGCTGTCTCTGATTGTCTTGCATTTCAGTCTCATCTTCCCAGAGCACTGGGTAGAGATTGACTTGGGTATTAGCCATATCCCCTATAGAGACAAGCATAGTCCTGGGCTCCTATATGTCTCAGAATGAGTAATGAATGAATGAATGAATGAATGAGTGGGATAAATGATTTGCTCATGTTCAACTGTGTTAATTTAGGAAAGAAAGAAAGGATTATAAGAGTAAGGGAGCATAGAAAGGGAGAGAAAGAAGAAAGGAAGACAAAAAAGTAAGTAGGAAGGGAGAAAAACAGTCAGCCTTAGGAATCCTACTTTTAGAAATAAAGAGGTAGAGATTCCAAGATGGGAAGGAATTAGGCATCTCTGCAGGGAACTGCACCTACCCAAACAAGCCAGGCCCTCTGGAAGAGGACAAAAGCCAACTGCCCAAAGGAAATATGTCCTTTGAGCCAATTTAGTCCTAAAGGTGTGCTACAAATTCTTGATAAGATGTTTTAGATAATTCAGTTTTTAAAAAAAACATATAAGTGCCAGGCACTGGTGGCTCATGCCTGAAATCCTAACTACACAGGAGGCAGAGATCAGGAGGATCACAGTTTGAAGCCAGCCTGGGCAAACACAAGACTGTATCTCAAAAATACCCAACACAGAACTGAGCTTTGGGTTGAGCCACAGAAAGGGAGTGGCTCAAGTTGGTAGAGCCCCTACCTTACAAGTATGGGGCCCTGAATTCAAACCCCAGTAGCACAAAAAAAAATACAAGTAATTTTTTAAGCTGTAAAGTGTCCTATAAATTGTTTCACTCTTAGCATTCATTTCAAAAGAACAAAATACCTACTTAGAATCACTTATCATCAAAAACATTGTTTACCAATTATCTTTTTTAAACATTTTTATTAGGATATATTAGTTGTACAGAGAGGTTTCATTGTCCCATTTCCATATATGCTTACAATACACCTTGGTTAGATTCATCCCCTCCATCATTCTCTCTCACCCCCCTCACCACTACTTAAAATAATCTCAACAAGTTTCATCATTCTATTTTCATACAAGTATAAAAAGTACATCTACCTTGTTCCCCCTCCTTTGCCCTCTCCATTTACCCTTCCCCCTCACATCCCCCATGAGAGCCTACTCTTCATTCTAGTCTTTCATTTTTTAAATGTATATTTTCCTTGTTTGAAGGGGTTTCACCATGGTGTTTCACCCATGAATATATTGTACTTTAACCAGATTAACCCCTCCTATTACTTCCTTACCCTTACCCCCTACCCCCTACCCCCTATTAATCAACAGCTTTCAGGGTGTTTCATTATAGCAACTTAATAATTTTTCTTCCAGGATCTCTGCACTCTGCTTAGATAGGGTCCCTAATGTCACCATCACAAGCCATGGATACACTCAGTCATGCCCTAAAATACTCTTTGCCCTCCTTCTTCCTTTTTCTGCTCATCCTTAAAGACTTACATCAAATACAAATCTGCCCTAAAGTCTTCCCTGTCATCCCAACTTTCAACAATCTTCCCCCTTCCTAAGAACCCCAAACCCTGCTCCACACCTGTTACCCTCATCCCTGGAGCTCATCCTGGGAGTGTGGGGTGGAGGTCTCCATACCTGGATGGGACCTCTGTGGTAACTGTTCCTGTTGCCCACTAGTGTAAATTCAGGGCCTGAGAAGCATGAAAACACCCAACTGTTTCCAATGCCTCTACTTCTCCCTAGCCGAGCCTGGCATTGTCTGGCACAGTATTTGCTATGAGTGGGGCACATTACCTCCTCATTGAAACATGAATATGTGTAAACGAGGAAGATGGCCAGATAAATCTAGAACGTACAAAAGAGATCAACTGCCTTGAAACCACTCTAGGGAAAATATGATGTTTCACATCTTCTTCTTCTTCTTCTTCTTCTTCTTCTTCTCCTCCTCCTCCTCCTCCTCCTCCTCCTCCTCCTCCTCCTCCTCCTCCTCCTCCTCCTCCTCCTCCTCCTCCTCCTCTTCTTCTTCTTCTTCTTCTTCTTCTTCTTCTTCTTCTTCTTCTCCTCCTCCTCCTCCTCCTCCTCCTCCTCCTCCTCCTCCTCCTCCTCCTCCTCTTCTTCTTCTCTTCTTCTTCTTCTTCTTCTTCTTCTTCTTCTTCTTCTTCTTCTTCTTCTCCTTCTTCCTCCTCCTTCTTCTTCTTCTTCTTCTTCTTCTTCTTCTTCTTCTTCTTCTTCTTCTTCTTCTTCTTCTTCTTCTTCTTCTTCCTCTTCTTCCTCTTCTTCCTCTTCTTCCTCTTCTTCCTCTTCTTCCTCTTCCTCCTCTTCCTCCTCTTCCTCCTCTTCCTCTTCCTCCTCTTCCTCCTCTTCCTCCTCTTCCTCCTCTTCCTCCTCTTCCTCCTCTTCCTCTTCTTCTTCTTCTTCTTCTTCTTCTTCTTCTTCTTCTTCTTCTTCTTCTTCTTCTTCTTCTTCTTTCTTCTTCTTCTTCTCTCTCTCAAGAATAATAGAATTAGACTCAAAAGATCTGAGAAAGTGTTCTAGGACTGTCACTCACTGTGTGACTTTATCTTTTATTGTCATTGTTTTGGGTTTTTTTCTTTGTCTTTGAAACAGGGCTCCCTTTGTAACCTAGGCTGGCCTGAAACTTGCTGTGTGGCTCCGACTAGCCTTGAAGTCTTGATCCTCCTGCTTCAGTCTCCTGAGTGTTGGGATTGCAAGCCTGTGTCACCATGCCTGACTCACTGTGTGACTTTGGATGTGTCAGTACCTACTGCATAGTAGTGTTGTATTCTGCCTTGCACATCACTCAGTGGCCCCAGTTGGAGCTCAGTTAAAAGGGAGTGTGAGGCTAAGCATAGGAGATATTCCTATACTGATGCTGGTGCTTGGCTAATACAATAAAAATCAAAGTAAAGATGTATAAATAGAATGCCCAAAAGCACATAGGACTGTCGTATGCATGAAATGAGCCTGTGAGTACCCTCTACAACCTGTAGAGTGATTATAAAAAGTGTACTGAGCTGGACATGGTGGTGCACATCTGTAATCCCAGCACTCAGGAGGTAGAGATAGGAGGATTGTGAGTTTGAAACCAGCTACATAAAGAGATCCTGTCTGGGAACAAAGAAGAAAAAAAGGAAAAAGAAAGCCCTGTAGGAAGCAAGGCATTGGTGGCATGATTACCTGTCAGGTCACAACTCTACCATGTGATCTGTCTGCTCAGAGACAGTGGTAAGGCTGCTTCCCAAACAGAAGGCTCAATCCATTCCTTGACCTCTGGCTATTTCCACACAGGAGCGTGATGCTCTGTGCACATGCCCGCCCTTCCACCCCATCCCTTCAGCTATGGACCACAGCCAAGGGTGCAGACCTCAGGCAGCAAAATGGGTGAAGAAGAGAGGGAACAAGGCAGGGGTAAGAATTATATGGACTAGCCCTCTGGGTCCACTGAAGCAGAGGTTTTAGGTTCACTGTCCAGTGTGAAGCATGCCGTTTATAGCACCTCCCACACCCACATCCTTCCACCCCAAAGCAAAGTGCTTGGCCCACCCATTGGGCTTCCTGTTCCCCACTCCATCAAGGGACTCCTCGTCTTTATTGACACCAACACTAATAGCTACCACATTTTGGGGGATGCACACACATTGTCCAGTACTGCCTCTTGGCAACTCCGTTTTGCGATGGAACCACTGAGCCAGAAAAATAAAATTACATAACTGGGCACCCACTGCAGAGCAGCAGAGCCAGGCACTGAGCAGTGTGCTTTGGTTCTGCCTGTGCACATCTTTCCCCTGGGGTCGGAGATGCCTTTGCCGCACCTCTGGCTTGTGCAGTAGGAGGTTAAGTGTTTGGGTTTAGCACCAATTTACCTGGTGACACAGGCAGGGCAGGGTCTTCTCATGGAGGAATTAGCCTCAAGTATGAACCAGAGGCAAAGACAGAATAGCTGGATAATGGCCAGCTCTCATCACTGTGTGATTTAGGGCAAGTCACTTCCCTCTCTGAACCTGTGCTGTCAACTGAACAATGAGTTGAGGGACAAAGGGGCAGTGTGGGGCCCTCAAAATTCTCACAGGCCATGCTTCTCTGACCAGCAGGGTATCCAGGGCCTAGCCTGGTTAGGCCCCCACAGCCGGACTTACATAGCTCAGCAGTAGAATTCAGGGCATTCCTTCTTTATTTTCTTTCTTCTTTATTTGGTGGGACTGAGGTTTGAACTCAAGGCTTTGAGCTTGCAAAGCAGGCACTCTACTGCTTAAGCCACATTTCCAGTCCATTTTGCTCTGGTTGTTTTAGAGATGGAGTCTCAAGACCATTTGGCCCAGCTGCCCGGAAACCACAATCCTCCCAATCTCATCCTCCCAGGTAACTAGGATAACAGGCATGAGCCACTGGTGCCTGGCTAGAATCCAGGCACTCTGAACCTTGCTCAAGGTCTGGCTGGTCCCTTCCCACACTCTATGTTTGAGCCCCTGCACTGCACTGTCCCTGGCACCCTTCACTTCACCTGGCCCTCTGCCTTCCCTTCCAGCTCATCCTAATGCCACTCCCTGGTGTGGGTGGCTCTGACTAGCTGCCTGGAATTTTTCCCTGTCTGGTTGGTCCCTCTCCTGAACAATCCCCAGTGTCATACAGCAAGAAGATAGGGACTAGGAAAGGGAGGAGAAGGTGGAAAGAGAAGAGGTAACCACCCAATCGAGACAGGGATACTGAGGAGGACTAGATAGGGAGACTTTGACTCTTCTCAGGTGCCCTAAGTGGGCACCCTCAGGCAGGGCTGAGAGGGAAGCTGTTGTCAGCACCTGTCCCAATGGCGTCAGTGTCTGTTCTGGTTGAGCAGGGCCTAGGGAATCCCTAGGTTCTGTTAAATATGTTGAATCACTGTTACTTCCTACCACTCAGAGCCAGAAAAGACAGCCCTGAAACCAAACCCAGCAACTTCACTGCATCCCCTGTTCAAACACCCCACTACTAACCACATAAGATCCAACAGAACCAGCCAGGGCCAAGATTGCTATCCAAGAGAACACACTTTATTGGGTACATTTCCAGGGGAACCTGGTTTTGCATAGCATGAAAAGTGCAGCTAAGACCAGAAGCACAATAGAAGAAGAACTTTGGTAGAAAAACCTGCTAAGCGGAGGGCCCTTCTACAGAAGGGTGGGATCATTTAGTAACCAGGAGCCATAGGGGTGTCCTCCTTCCTGTGGCTCAGGCACTGCCCAGAGAGCCTCATGGCTGCTCACAGCGGATGAGGCGTCACATGCTCCCTGGAAGAGATGACTTTCCCATCTCTGATCTCTTCAGTGATGGTACGGATCTGAGTGCTAACTTGGGGAGCTGGGGTGCAGGGCCCAGTTGGGACACAGGGCACAGAGGAGACATAAGGAACTCTCACAGCAGGTTTACATTCGTGGCACAAGGGTGGGCAGGAAGCCTGCAGAAAATAAAACATTCAGGGTGAACTTGGCATTGGATCACTGGACTTAGATGTATGGTAAACAGATTTAGTGAGCTATTGGGTAGGTAATGAAAACAAATAGCCTCAAACCATTTCAGTGCCTCTGAAATCCCTGAGAAACAGAAGACTAAGAACTTCCAATGGTCCAAGGGGTGGGAGGTTAGCTCTGTTGTAGAGCACTTGCCTATCTTGCTCAACACCCTCAGTTGAATCCCCCACAAAAATAAATAACAACAAAAAAATGGTTCAAAGGGGGTATGGGGGGGGTTGGGTTGGCATGTTCACTGGGACCCAGAAAGATCAGAAGAAATCTACCGCAGCTTTGTCACCATCACCTTCATCTTTGCTAAAACCACTTCAGAGCCTGACACATTGAGGGTTGAGTGGAGCCCATCCCCCAGCCCGGCTCTCAGGGTCGGCTGGCCACTCACTTGCAGTCTTCACCCTCCAGCAGCCGGCGGTAGGTGGCAATCTCTGATTCCAGCCGGGCCTTGACATCCAGCAGCACCTGGTACTCCTGATTCTGCCTCTCCAGGTCACAGCGGATCTCAGCCAGCTGGGACTCCACATTGCTGATCAGGCACTGCATCTGGCCCAGCTGGGAGCTGTAGCGGGCCTCTGTCTCTGCCAGCGTGGATTCCAAGGAATTCCGCTGCAATGGGAAAAAAAGCTGTCAAGCAGAAGGAATCCCACCCCAGACCCTATCCCAACCCTGGGTATCTGCATGTGGCTGTGATCAGGCCACATGCTGAGGATGGGAAGTCAGGGGGTCCGCCATGAGCTATGGCCAGTCACTCAGGCAGAGGCCACCTACCATGCTCTGCTGGGCCTGCAGCTCAATTTCCAGGCCATTGACCGTGCGCCTCAGCTCAATGATCTCTGTCTGGCAGCACTGCAGCTGCTCCGAGCTGGACACCACCTGCTGGCTCAGCTCCTCAGTCTATAGTATAAGAGGAGATGCAGAGCATCGTGAGACCAAGTAAAGCTCCTTGGGGCCACCCCACCCCCTAGAGCTGCAGCCAACCTGGGTGTTGAACCAGGACTCCACGTCTCTGCGGTTATTCTCTACCAGAGTCTCATACTGACATCTCATGTCATCCAATATCTTGTTGAGGTCCACCGGTGGGGCAGCATCTACCTCCACATTCAGACGGTCCCCAAGTTGGCAACGGAGTGAATTGACTTCCTACAGTTAGGAAGTGAGATGGCTAAAGTTGTGAAAAGAATGCCTGTTTGGGAATTCACCTGATCTGAGTTCAAACTCTCCTCCCTCCATGCCAGCGTGTGCTATTAGAGAGGATACTTAACTTCGCTGAGCCCAGTTCTCCCCATGAGCATGTACCTACCTCCTGGGGAGCTGGGAGATTTAAATGAGATGGTACAAACACCTGGCAAATAGAACTGTTATCGGTCACTGTAGCCTAAATGGAGTTTTAGTGTCATGAGGAAGGTATGGACACTGTGTGACCACAGGCAAATGACTTAAGTTCTGTGTGCCTCAGTCTTCTTGTCTGTAAAATGGAGCTTGTAATAGTATCTAACTCTGGATTACTGTAGGAATGAAAGGAAATGCAAAGTGTTTCATCCACTTCCTAGCAAACAATAGGCCCAAAGGCCAGCAGGGACTCCTAAGCTGCCCAGGAACCATTGAAGGTCAGGTGGCACCAGCCTCACCTCCTCGTGGTTCTTCTTAAGGCACAGCAGCTCCTCCTTCAGGGACTCCACCTGTGCCTCCAGGTCAGCCTTGCACAGGGTCAGCTCATCCAGGATCCTGCGTAGGCCATTGATATCGGCCTCCACCAGCTGCCTCAGGGACAGCTCCGTCTCATACCTGCAAACACAGAGCCCTGCCAAATCTGCAGCAAGGGAAGCCAAACCCAGGCAGGGAGCCCCAGTTCTCTTCTGCCAGCTGTAATGGTTGATTCAGGGTCAGAAGCATAGTAGTCTTTTCCCTTGACCCGGAAGGGATCCAGGGCCTATGCCACATCTTCCCATTTATAGGTCCATCTGGTCTTATTCCCACCTCACTAGCACCCAAAGATGGGGGACAGAGGCCAGGCAGCACAGCAAGCCTCCCCTGGTTGAGCCACTCACTCACTTAGTCCTGAAGTCGTCAGCAGCCAACTTGGCATTGTCAATTTGCAGAACCAGCCTGGCGTTCTCAGATTTGGTCAGCAGGATCTGCAGAACAAGAGGCTTCCCATGAGCTGGAGAAGGCCCAGCAGTGTGAGGGTGACAGAAAGGGGATGACCCAGCTCACAGAGGCCATGCTTCCAAGTACAGGCAGCACATTCTGGTTCCCTGCCCAGAACCTGGATCCCAGGCCTAGAGGGAGCATTGGCCACAGGAGGGACATTACAAAGCCATCAGTAACCATCAATCCTGACATCTGTCTCCTCCAGGGTGGCCCAGAAGGATATACAAGAGTAAAGCAGACATGAGGTCAGCTAAGCGATTTTGGACAAGTTGTTAAGCCTCTCAAAATTCAACCTCCCTATCTATTAGATGGGTCCAATAATTCCTATCTCTCCAAATGGAAAAGTGTAAGGCACAATGTTGTACCCAGGGCTTGGTCCATGTCCCTTCCCTCCCTAAGCTGAGACAGTGAGGGGAAGTGAAGAATGGCCAGCAACAGGGTACATGTGAGAGACCAGCAAAGGAAGCTGGGTTCCCCAGGAATCCAAGGCCCTAGAGAGAAAAGCTCACCCTTACAGAAAAAAAAATCCCTATAAACTGCAGTCCCATCTGGAAAGGTTTGGGGATGACATAGATGCCTCCCAGGAGTTGGGCTGCTCAGCTGGAGAGGGGCCAGGTCCCTATTACCTTCTGCTGGAAGTCCTCAATGGTCTTGAAGTAGGACTGGTAGTCCGGGCAGATGTATGGGATCTGACTCTCATACCACTCACGGATGCGGCTCTCCAGCTCAGCGTTCTCCCGCTCTAGCTGGCGCACCTTCTCCAGGTAGTTGGCCAGGCGGTCATTGAGGAACTGCATGGTCTCCTTCTCATTGCCATTGAAGGAGCCCTCGCCGAACCAGCTGCCGCTCCCAACAAAGGCAGAGGACTGGTTCCCAGCAGACAGGTAGGGGCTAGGCAAGTAACTCCCAAGGCCAGAGAGGCCTGTCCTAAAGGAAGAGATGGATCCCGCAGCACCAGCCAGACCAGGGATCCTGCAGGAGCCCACAGAGCGGATGGAGGACACCCGGGAGAAGCCACCTGCCGTGCTGCAAAGACCCTTGACAGACCCAGTGGAGAAGGTCGGAGTGCAGATCTGGGTGGCCATGATGCTAGTGAGGAAGGTTGCAGCTTAACAAGGAGCTTGAGTTCTGTACTCTCCAGGCCTCTCTGGAACACTTATATATACTTTCCATGGGGTGTTGGCATGTTACACATCTTTGGCTCTTGGGAAAGCCCTTTCCTATCCCCAGAAAACTAATCTCATTAGAATGTGATTTTTGCTACCCATCCAGAATTCCTTTCCTTGTTAAAAAAAAATGTTGAATTTGGTTTGCTAAGTCAGGACTCTCAGCTGTTGTTATTTCCTAGCAGACTGAATTTTATTGCCACTTCAAAGAGTCTTCGCCCCAGATCCCATAAACTGGGAGTGGCCTCATACATGACATTTGGTTCCTGCCCTCCCTACCTGCCTTCCCCTGAGGAGCCCAATCTGTTACCCCCATACCCTATCCCCACCTTCAGAGCTGCTCATCTATGCCTGGGCCACTGGGCAGAGAAAAGGGAGCAAAGGGAACTGAAATTCTTGATGCACTTATTGTGTGCCAGGCTAATACATACATCTTTCATTTACACCTTAAAATAATCCTGGGGGGTGGCTAACAGTGACTTCATTTTACCAGTGTGGAAACTGAGGCTCACAGTGGTTTAAAAGCTTGCTCAAGGTGATCAGGAAGTGAGTAGAAAAGCTTGGATCTGAAACCAGAGCTCTCAAACTCCAAATCCTACGCTTTTGCCCCACTGCTTCCCTGCACAACTGAGATCAGAATTAAGAAATAGGAGGCTGATGTTCAAATCCTACCTCTGTTTGTCCTATGACACTGAGCATATCCCTTCTTCTCTGGGATCTTCAGTGTACTTAATGGAACCGTACAAATCATCACCCTGTCCTGCCTGCTTCACACAAATATAAGGAGGATCAAACAAGACACAAGTAAAAACATTTTGAAAGCCACTGGGTGCTATAGAAGTGTTGGTTAGGCTATAAGGACAGTCTTTGATGATAGTGTATGATGGGGCCAGCATAGGATCATAGGTGTGGGCACTTCAGTGGGGTTGCTGAGGCCTTTGCACCCACCAGGTTCAGTATGGTGGCAGTGGGGGGAAGAAGGTATCCCATAGTCAATCCTTAGACAGTCCATGTGCTCATCACATGGAGAGTCTTCTGCCACTATGGATCCATGTGTTTGGACCAATGGCTGGGGCTGGAAGGCAGTTTGCTTTGTGGCCCTCAGCTTTCTGAACTAGTCTGCTCAGACCTCAACAGGGCACAGAGATGGCCAGTGTCAAAGAAGGTATAAGAAGAAAGAAACCAAATACTGCCAGATAGATACTTAAGCAAGCTGAGAGTTAAGGACCAAAGATAAACTAGGTTCTTCCACCTTGAAACATGGAGTTTCCCAAGGCTTGGGGAACCTGCTCATTTTTCTCTCAGATGTTTGGTTTGCAAGGCTGGCGTTTATGGAAGCATTTATGTGCTTCTGAAGTTGTAATTCCCAACCTCTTAAAATACTTTATAAGCTTCCCTGTGAAATTACTCAAGGAGGAGGATTGACTGTAGCAGACACACCTCGCCCAATGTGATGGACACTAAGGTGACTGAGAGCAGTCTTCCCAGGGGCAGCTCCATGTATCCCCTCCTGGGAGAGGGGGAGCAGGGACATCCTCTTCTCCAGAGCTCCAGCTGCCTCAACAATGACTTCCTCACTGCTGCCGGTCTCCCAGCTTTCCTGTAGGGCCTAGGATTATCCTGTTGCAGGGCTTCTCGACCCAGCACTGTTGACACTGTGGGCTGGGTAATTCCAAGTTGTTTGGGGCTGCTATGTGCCTTGCAAAATGTTTGGCAATATTCCTGGCCTCCACCATCTAATGCCAGTAGCAACTCCTTGCCCTGGTTGTGATAACCAAAAATGTCTGGACAGTTCCAAAGCCCCCAGGAAGGGGAGGGTGGAAAAATAGCCCCAGTTGAGAATCACTGGATTATCAGGACAGAGCCTGGGCTCCGAACTTATCTCCTTTAAGTCTTCCACTTTGTTTTCCAGGACAACTAGCACAGAGTCTGCTGCCTCTTTTGGGGCCACCCAAACAAGTCCTTCATATACCCAAGTCCCAATTTGCCCCATGTGTGACACAGAGTACCTGTCCTGCAAAATTGACTTGAGGGCAGTAGCATGGTTCTCTATTTGGAGTCTCTAGCTGATTGGCATCTAATCTTTTCTGTTTTCTTTAATTTTCTTTTTCAGTCCCTGTATTGTGGTTCTTGATTTCTCTCAGGGCAACTAAGTAAGGTGTCTGCTGCACCAATGGTCTTGCCATTCTCATCTATGCATCAGCAAGGCCAACATGGGCCAGGGCTATAGGGAAAGCAATCTAGAAAACTAACTGTGAGCAGGTGACAAGCTAGACAAAGGAGATGGGTTTTCAGTCACACTCAGTCCCCTGCCTTATCTGTGTTGTAGGTTCCATGGCCACCTCCAGGAGTGAAGTATGGAGGGGATTTGAGGGAGGAATTCTGCCTTCTCCAACCCTGGCAGCTGTAACATCACAGGAAGAAGTGAGGCCTATAGGAACAAATACTCGATTCACAGTAGAGAACCAGGCTCACAGGTCAGTCATCTCCCAGGAGAGCTCTAGGAAAACATCTCCTCCCATGATAACCCAGCTCCATAGAACAACCAGTATTCAGTGTTGAGTAAACCAGGAGGAATGGAAGGAGACGTTCATCAGGTTTTAGCTCAAAATAGGATCCTATTCTGAGACCATTCTTTCTAATGTCAATCAAAAGTGTACTGGCCTAAGGGTCAGAAGACCTGGCCTCTAGGTCCAGCTCTGTACCAGTTCCCAGTATGAGCCCTATCCACTGTGGGCCTCAGACTGCCTCGCCTGAACAAAGGAGGGCCTGGACGATGAGCTGGGGTTTCTTCTAGCTCAGACATGATAGGATTTGGTGCCCACATACAGCCCACGGGGCCCAGGAGTTGTTTGAATGTAACTGTGACTCATTCACCATCCTCTATAACCTCGACCTTTCTGTGTCACTCAACTACAGAATAAAGAGGAGCTAAGGAGATTAAACTTATTTCATGATTGAGTTTTCTTTTCTTTCAAAACACCCAAGGATTTCAGGCTCTCCTTTTGCCTCTAACATCTCAGCCCACAAGAACAATGGTGTGTGTAGAATGACCACATTGATTTACCTTCCAGGGCTACTTCCAAGAAGGGCCCTTTCAGAAGTGCACTGTCATTGAACACCAAGTAGACATCCCCGTATGTTCAGGCTGAAATCACATCTCTGCCAACTGAACCAAAGACTTCACTTTGCAGAAGGAACTTAGAGAACACGGGGACAAGAGCCCTGGGTCCAAGCTACTCAGTTCCTCTGAGCCTCAGTCTTCCAAACAAGTGAATGGAGCTCATGTCAAAGTCCACAATATTGTAAAAACTACAGCAAAAAAGCACTTGATAAACTGGAAATTATTTCACAGATTTCAAGGATCAAAACTGCTCAGAGAACCCACAGAAGTATGAACCAAGGTCAAGTGATATTTTCAGGGCACAAACTACTTGCCCTGGTTTAATGGGATACTGATTGTTGCAGCCTAACATGGATGTCCAACAAAAGACAACTTCTCAAAGAGGCAGTAACCAGGACTGTGTCCAGAGGTGCAGTAGTCCCCTTGGCCAGGTTTCTCTGTCTGTCCTGTTACCCTTACTCTAGAAGTTCCCCCCAAAGCTCCCACTCCACTTGCAGGCACATGTGCCAGTTAGAGTGCTCAAAGGATATTCTCTGTCCACCATGACAGAGAAGGAGAGGAAATGCTGCTGTGTGAACAGAAAAGACTGGCTTTTCCCAAGCACATATTGGAAGGCCATCAAGTTCAAGATTACCTGCTGTGTCTGTAGCTATGTCTTTGCCCACCTTTAAATAAGCTTCTATCAGAAAGCCAAAGTTCTGCATGGACCAAGATCCAAGACATCAAGCCTAAATCCACTACTGCCCAGCTCTGAGCAGCCCCTTCAATGCAGAGAGCACAGGATGGCCTGTCACAATATGTCCAAGGAGGAAATGTCCAAGCAGGGTCTCTCTTTCTCTGCCTTTCTGGACTTTGGACAGAATGTGCTATCCACCATCACCAACAAACCCCAAAAAGCAGCAGAGGAAGCAGACCAGGCCACCTGCCAGTGGGCACTAGATCACTCAAGAAGGCCAGTGGCATCTCTTGCAGCCTGTTGCTTCAGCCTTCTCATAGTGCTCATGTCAGCCTTGAGGTCACGCACAGATCCTAGAGAATTTCCCAGGATACAAGGCATGTAAGAAATGCCTTCAGATCCTACCCAGGACCCACCCAGTATTCTGAGGACCCACAGCTGATTTTCCCCCACACAGCTTCTTTTACCTTGTAACAAAGAATTCAATTTGTTCAAGCCACAAAGCACCTGGGATTCTTGGCCCCTCCCCAGAAAAGCCCAGTTACTATATATTCTGTCAAATAACCATTTCCACAGCTCCTGACAAATCTGCTGTCAGCTTATGTCAGATTCTAGTCCAGACATGCAGGAACAGGCATGGGAACTAAAAAAAAAGACTTACAATTAAGATATTTCTAACTACTGATTTAATTTTTCCAAAGGATCCAAGAAAGGTGTCACTCAGTTTTGGTGGTAAAAGACTCAAGGTCACTCACAGACCTGAGGAGGACAGGATTGCCAGACTTAACAGCTAAAAATACGTGTAATTTTGGAACACATTTATATTAGTATCTATCTGCAATATCGATTCAGCTGTGTGACAGCCATCAGTGAGAAAGATCACTGTTTGAGAGCCTTGACCAAGTGACATGCAGTTGTCCCTTTCCTCCTCTCTTGTGGCTTGTCACTGTGTGTCACTGCATAATACTGGAGACAGGTATATCAGGCTTCCCTTGGAAGAACATGCCTTTCGGTTCCTTTATACCCTGGACTCAGCAGCTGCCATTTTTGCCTTTCTAGGCCCAGTGAGCAGTACTTGAAGCTACAGAAAATAAGTTGTCCTCCCTCTGGTCCTGACCA